TGAGGTCAGTAGTTTGAGACCAGCCTGGCCATCATAGTGAAACCCTGTCTCTACTAAAAGTACAATAATTAGCCAGGCATAGTGGCAGTCCTGTAATCCCACATACTCAAAGGCTGAGGCAGGAGAATTGCTTGAACCTGGGAGGTGGAGGCTTCAGTGAGCTAAAATCATGCCCACTGCACTCCAGCCTGGATGACAGAGCAAGGCTTCATTTCAAAAAAGAACAAAAATAAAGAGGGAAGAAAGGAAGGAAAAGGAAAAAAAAGATCACTTCTAAAATATTAAACTTCAGTATTTTACTCTATTAGGGTAATCTTTTATTTTGCTGATATCTTTCATACTCTAACACTAAATATTTTTCTCTTTAAACAAGTGTACCTTAAACTTGAATGTACATATACATCTGGAAATCCTATTAAAATGTGTGTTCTGATTCAGTAGGTTTGGCGTGGGATGAGAGATTCTGCATTTCCAACAAGCTCCAGGTGATGCCAGCACTGCCCGTGGCCTCACTCAGAGTTACAACAAGCTCCAGGTGATGCCAGCACTGCCCGTGGCTGCACTCAGAGTTACAAGCTCCAGGTGATGCCAGCACTGCCCGTGGTAACACTCAGAGTTACAACAAGCTCCAGGTGATGCCAGCACTGCCCGTGGCCTCACTCAGAGTTACAACAAGCTCCAGGTGATGCCAGCACTGCCTGTGGCCTCACTCAGAGTTACAACAAGCTCCAGGTGATGCCAGCACTGCCCGTGGCTGCGCTCAGAGTTACAAGCTCCAGGTGATGCCAGCACTGCCCGTGGTAACACTCAGAGTTACAACAAGCTCCAGGTGATGCCAGCACTGCCCGTGGCCGCACTCAGAGTTACAAGCAGCTCCAGGTGATGCCAGCACTGCCCATGGCCGCACTCAAGAGTTACAACAAGCTCCAGGTGATGCCAGCACTGCCCATGGCCGCACTCAAGAGTTACAACAAACTCCAGGTGATGCCAGCACTGCCCATGGTAACACTCAGAGTTACTGCTCCTAAACCTTCAGAGCTCAGTCCTCTGTACCCTCCATTCTCTGACTCCTTCCTGAAGTTCCTTCCTTTCCCACCTAGTGTGAACTCCAATGGCAGCAATTTCAACTACAGCTCGTCTCTTTGTTCTTCCAGAACAAGAGTCCTGGCAATCTCCATTCCAGTATTGATAAAGCCACCATTTCTTCTAGTCTCCAGCCACAGCACCCCTGCAAGGTATCAGACAGCTTCCACGTACTTCTATTAAAAACATGTGATTTCTCAGGTACATCAGCAAGTCTTCACTTTGTTTCCCTTTCCCATTCCTAGAGTAACTTTGCCTAAATGTAATCGCCTCAAGCTCCAGTCCCCCTCCTCTCACACCTCTTAATCAATGAACAACAATGAAAGGAGAACTTCTTCGAGCCGTCCAGTGGAAATAACATTTAGCATAATGACTACTGCACAATTAAAAAAAAAAAAACCTACTCAAAGACTCAACTATGTCATATTAAGATTTTCCAACACTTGAGCCAGGTGAGGTGGCTCACGTTTGTAATCCGAGGACTTTGGGAGGCTGAGGCAGAATGATCACTCGAGGCCAAAAGTTTGAGACCAGCCTGGCCAACATTGCAAAACCAGGTCTCTACTAAAAATACAAAAGTTAGCCAGGTTTGGTGATGCTCACCTGTAATCCCAGCTACTCTGGAAAGCTGAAACACAAGAATTGCTTGAACCTGGGTGGTAGAAGCTGCAGTGAGCTGATATTGCACTCCTGCACTCAAGCCAGGGCAACAGAATGAGACTGTCACTAAATAAATAAATAAACAAACAGATTCTCATTAAAAAAATATATATATATTCCCCACACTGGCAAGATGGTGGAACAGGAACAGCTCCAGTCTGCAGCTCTCAGCAAGATCAACATAGACAGCAGGTGACTTCTGCATTTCCAACTGAGGTATCCAGTTCATCTCATTGGGACTGACTGAACAGTGGGTGCAGCCCATGGAGAATGAACCGAAGTGGGGGGGGCATCACCTTATCCAGGAAGCTCAAGGGGTCGGGGCATGCCCCTCCCCTAGTCAAGGAAAGCCATGAAAGACTGTACTGAGAGGAACAGTCCACTCCAGCCCAGATACTGCACTTTTCCCATGGTCTTCACAACCGGCAGACCAGGAGATTCCCTCCAGTTCCTACCCTACCAGGGCCCTGGGTTTCAAGCACAAATCTGGGCAGCTGTTTGGGCAGTCACCAAGAGAGCAGCAGCTTTTTTTTTTTTTTTTTTTTTTCATACCCCAGTGGCACCTGGAATGCCAGCAAGACAGAATTGTTCACTACCCTGGAAAGGGGGCTGAAGCCAGGGAGCCAAGTGGTCTGTGGCCAGGTGACTCAGCGGGTCCCATCCCCACGGAGCCCAGCAAGCTAAGATTCACTGGCTTGAAATTCTTGCTGCCAGCATAGCAGGCTGAGGTCGACCTGGGATGCTCAAGCTTGGTGGGGGGAGGGGCGGACACCATTGCTGAGGCTTGAGTAGGCAGTTTTACCCTCACAGTGTAAACAAAACCACCAGGAAGTTCAAACTGGGCAGAGCCCACCAGACCAGCTCAGCAAGGCCACTGCTGCCAGACTGCCTCTCTGGATTCCTCCTCTCTGGGCAGGGCATCCCTGAAAAAACAGGCAGCAGCCCCAGTCAGGGACTTATAGATAAAACCACCATCTCCTTGGGACAGAGCACCTCAGAGAAAGGGTGGCTATGGGTGCAGTTTCAGCAGACTGAAACATCCCTGCATGACAGCTCTGCAGACAGCAGTAGATCTCCCAGCACAGTGTTTGAACTCTGATAAGGGACAGACTGCCTCCTCAAGTGGGTCCTTAACCCCCATGTATCCTGACTGGGAGACACCTCCCAGGAGGGGCAGACAGACACCTCATATGGGAGAGCACTGGCTGGCATCTGGTGGGTGTCCCTCCAGGATGAAGCTTCCAGAGGAAGGAACAGGCAGCAGTCTTTGCTATTCTGCAGCCTCCACTGGTGATACCCAGGCAAACAGGGTCTAGAGTGAACCTCCAGCAAATTCCAGCAGACCTGCAGCAGAGGAGCCTGTTAGAAGGAAAACTAACAAACAGAAAGGAATAGTATCGTTGTCCACTCCTAGATCCCATCCAAATATCACCAACATCAAAGACCACAGGTAAATAAATTCACAAAGATGGGAAGAAACCAACACAAAAAGGTTAAAAACTCCAAAAACTGGAATGCCTCTTCTCCAAAGGATCACAATTCCTTGTCAGCAAGGGAACAGAACTGGACTGAAAATGAGTTGAATTGACAGTAGCAGGCTTCTGTCAATATTAAAATCCTCTGAGCTAAAGGAACACGTTCGAACCCAGTGCAAGGAAGCTAAGAACCTTGAAAACAGGTTAGACAAATTGCTAACTACAATAACCAGTTTAGAGAGGAACATAAATGACCTGATGGAGCTGAAAAACACAGCACAAGGACTTTGTAAAGCATACACAAGTATCAATAGCTGAATTGATCAAGTGAGAAAAGATATAAAATTGAAAATCAACTCAATGAAATAAAGTAAGAAGACAAGATTAGAGAAAAAAATCTTACAATGTTCCTGCTAACCTTATTTAGATAGGTACAATTAAGACTTCCTTTTACAGACCAGAAAATAAGGCACAGTGAATCGATACAGCCAATGAGTGTCAGAGCAAGAATTGGCACCCATCCCTTGAGCGCCTCAGCTCTCAAACCACTCTTCTCTGCCGCTGCAGAATCACAGGAGGTCTTAGAGAGTTCGGAGAGCTCAATTCTAGTTAAAGTATCTGTATGTGTAAGAAAGAAGGGGTAGGAAATCTTTAGGCTTTGCAGCTCTTGAAGGCATATTAGTTTCACTCAAGGTCCTCTTTAAAAATACTGTTTCTTGGGCCTCCACGAGAAAAATTCTATTTAATGAGTCAGGGGCTTGTATCTGTATTTTTCATCTGTAAAAGAGGAATGTTATCTCAAATCAGTGGTTTTCAAACTTTTTATATTCACCAGACCTTTGAACCGGCTCCAATGGGGTTACTACAATCAGAGTGAGAGAGCAAGAGAGAAAGGGAGAGAGAGCGAGAGACGGAGAGAGCAAGAGAGAGCCAGAGAGAAAGAGTGAGTGAGAGCGCTAGAGAGAGACAGCTGGCCCGCGCCACAAACCACCTCTCGGGTTTAAGTGAAGCCTTCGTTTTCTCTCGTGCAGAGACCATGCCATCCTTCCAGAAAGAAGCATTTTAGGACAAGAGACCTGGAACTGGCCTAAGGAGTGCCAGGGGAGGAACCATCGGATTTACAACAGCGGCTCTGCCTTCTTCCATGTGATTTCCAGTTTTAAATTCAACTCTGATTTACACAAATCCCACCCACCATGTAAATTTGTTGGGCAATGTCCTGCACTCTGCACTTCGTGGCATTTAAAACTTCCACACACGCGCGTGTTCTCTCTTGGAGCCCCGCGATCGCTGAGCCGCGCCAGGCAGCTGGCACCGCTGGGAGCGTGGCTCGCGCTGCCAGGGCCGAGGCCGCCCACCCCGCCGGAGCACGCGCGGGGCTCAGGGCGCCCAGGACTCGGGACGCGTCCCGGCTTTAGGTGGGCCCCGGCACCGCCAACCTCAGGAAACCCGCCGAACCCTTAACGTCTCGAAAGTGGCCGCAGCCTGCGTCAGAGATTGTCCCTCCGTGGAGCGCCCGGTGGCCTGCCCAGGGCACGGCCGTGGCCGAGAGGAGGACACACTTCTAACCTGGGGTGCCAGCAGAGACTGTCCGCGAGGGGAGACTCCACGTCTCGCCGCCCGCCCGCACCCGCCGCTCCACGAAAGGGCGCAACCGGCGGGCGCCGGCTCTCCTAGGTGTGAAGGCGGCTGAGGCCCCGCCCGGGAGGCCCCCGCGCGGCTCAGGAGTGGGCCAGAGGGACGTCTGGAGGCGGGACCCGGGCGCGCCCGCCCCCATGACCGGGATATAACACCGGGTCCCGCCGGGCGGCCGCGGGCGGGTGGAGGTGCGCGCTTGGGCCCTGGTGAGGCTGGTGGCGCGCGGGACCCGGCGCAGCTGCGGCAGCTGCCGGGCGGCGGAAGCGCCGGGAGGAGAGGGAGGAGAGGGCGGCGCGGGCGGCGCTGGCGGCTGGGTTCAGGGCACCAAGGCTGCCCGTGCTCCCGGGCTCCGGTTGCACGGCTCACTCCCGAAGATGTGGCTTCCAGCCTTTGCCTCCCTAGGAAGCAGGGAGCGTCAGTGTCGGGAGACTCTGAGACCGGAGTGCCGGAGCTGCTGATGCCCCCGCCAGCCTTCAAGTGTTCTCAGGTTCTTCTTTTTATTCATCTCCAGAACATGGACTTCCCGTGCCTCTGGCTACAGCTGTTGCTGCCTTTGGTAGCTGCGCTGGATTTCAGCTACCACCACCAGGAAGGGATGGAAGCGTTTTTGAAGACTGTTGCCCAAAACTACAGTTCTATCACTCACTTACACAGTATTGGGAAGTCTGTGAAAGGTAGGGTCCGGCTGTGCGCACTTTCCCAAACCCTCAGTCCTCCTTTCAGTGTTCATTAAATGTGCCCCAGCTTCCCATGTCCTCTTCCACGTACCTACCCTGAGGGGCGCAGAACAGGTAAACCGGTACCCTGCGTGTTGGTTGTTTTCTGCTTTTGTTTTGTTGGGAGGAATAGTAGAAAGAACTGAATTTTACTGGACTTGTCCATTGTAATTCAGTGTCACTGAGTCCTTTGCGTGTTTGGAGTTCTGTCTTTTGGATCTTGCAGACATTGATTATTTGGGATGTGTATTTTAGCTCCTTTTCAAGAAAACTCCATAGTAAGTCGGTCTATCCATTTCAGTTTCCCTTTGGGCTTCTTTAAATATGACTTGGACTGTTAATGTCACGTCTTCAAGTCTCTTTTAAACTGAAATAATGCGGTTTTGTTGGTAAGATTTCTATGTAATTCGCCTTTTAAAGTTGTGCAAAATTATCATTTCTACAAGTTTCTTTTAATCTAAGTCGTACAGTTCTGTTGGTTAGATTTGTGCCACGTATAATTAGCCCTATGACTTAAAGTTATGCAAAAAAGTGGTTCTATAATTAAAGGCTGTTATGAAAATGTATCCATTTGGTTTCTTGTTTGTTTGAGACAGAGTCTCACTCTCTTGCCCAGGCTGAAGTGCAATGGTGTGATCTCGGCTCACTGCAACCTCTGCCTCCTGGGTTCAAGCAACTCTCCTGGCCCAGACTTTTAGCAGCTGTGATTGTAGGCGCAAGCCACCATGCCCGGCTAATTTTCGTATTTTTAGTAGAGACGGGGTTTCACCATGTTGGTCAATCTGGTCTCAAACTCCTGACCTCAGGCGATCCATCTGCCTCGGCCTCCCAAAGTCCTGAGATTACAGACGTGAGCCACCACACCCGGCCTAAAATATATCCATTTGAAGAAGACAATGCTAGATAATATGTTAGTAGTGATTGAATCTCTTCCTAGCATTTTCATATTTATCATTAATAATTTGTTAGTTTTAAGTTAGAAATTACGTAAAACTGTTTTCATTTTTATAGACAAGAAATTAAATAATTTGTTCAAGGACTTCCAGATGGTGAATTTTATTGCCAGGACTGGCAACCAGACCATTCAGACAAGGCAAATAATTTGATCAGATGTTATTATTTCTTAATTATCTTTTTACATCTTTTACATATTAATCATCTTAAACATCTGGATCATTTATTATCCAGATGTTCCCAAAGAGGTTACCAGAAAACTTAGTTTTTAAATCAAAAGTTTCATAAAGTTTATGCAATTTGGATCTCAATTCTTTGTACGGTATGTTCAAACTCTGCGTGGATTTTTAGCTCTGAGTCTTTGAGTCAGTTGAGAGTCTTATAATTACCATATTCTTAATAATTTTCAAAAATATCAAGGCTATGGCTTCTATATTTGTTTATGCCAGGCTTGCAGGCCCTAAGCCTGACATAAACATATCTTAAAGAAAAAGAATTATATAAATGTATTTATGTGCAATGTGAAGTCAGTATCATGGGCTATGTGTAATAGTACTTTGTTTTTAAACAGCATTGCCAAAGACTTGGTGCCAGAATTATTCTAGATTACTCTATAATCCAAAATTATAGAGGTTGGGTGTGTGAGAAATCATATCTTGAATCAGCGTACGTATTCAGCCTTCTGAAATCATTTCTCCGCTAGGGCTAGAGTGAGCAATTTAAAAAGATCTAGGAATACTAATTATATTAATTTAAAAAATATAGAACACAACTAGCTTGAGTTATTGTTCAGTCATCATTTCAACCACAAGATGATGAGGATGTTGTTATTTTTAAGTACTAAATGATTTGGTGAGGTTTCCTGTTTTCAAACACAGTGTGCTTGTGACAGTTGGCGGCTCTGTTTCCTAATGTGAATCAGCAAATATGATCTATCCTGCATGATATCAAACCACAATCACAGTAAAAGTCAGCAGGCTTAATATTTTTTAAATTTTACCTTATATGCACCGTTGTGGTTAAAGGCTTGAGGAGATATCATGTAAAAATAAAATCTGACACTAGTGGTCAAATATTTGTGTTGAGTATTGCTCTGAATAATAACTCAGATTAAGAAAAATCCCAAATCCGCTATTTGGCTCCAAGCAGTAGGCTAAACTGCACGCCAGTAACTGGGAGTCAGTTGCCAAAGTGTCACTGCATAATAGTGTGACAATTGAGATGGTGCTCCTTTGTTCGTGCTCTTTTTCACTAGGTAGACTATTTTTCCTAGCTGTTCTACCCTCTGGTGTAAGATAAGTTTGCTTAGAAAACAGAATTTATGACCCAGGTGCAGTGGCTCACACCTGTAATCATAACACTTTGGGAGGACAAGGCAAGAGGATCACCTGAGGTCAGTAATTTAAGACCAGCCTGGCCAACATGGTAAAACATTGTCTCTACCAAAAATACAAAAACATTAGCGTGATGGCACGCACCTGTGGTCCCTGCTATTAGGGAAGCTGAGGCAGGAGAGTAGCATGAACCCAGAAAGCAGAGGTTGCAATGAGCCAAGATCATGCCGCTGTACTCCAGCCTGGCCAACAAGAATGAAACTTCATCTCAAAATAAAACAATTTATTATACACGTTATATATTTATATCACATGTATTAACATGAGCAATCTTACCCAGAAGAGAAAGTAATATTCCTATGTAACCAAATACATTTTTAGTTTTTGTAAAAACTAAAATGTATGTGATACATATATATGTACATGTTTGTTGTAATTGTGGATTATATTCTGCTTGTTTTTCCATTTCACATTATTTCATCATATATTTCCATGAATTGACAAAGTCTGCATATGTGAATTCGTTGCTGTATAGTATTTTATCCTCTTGATTATGTGAATTTTCTTATTCACTTCTCTGGGCATCCGTATAGTTTTTGGTTAACTCTGTTATAAACACAGATGCTATAAAACCACAGATACATGTCATGATAATTACTTATATTATTATTGGTGATTTTTAAAAACTTTCTTATTTTGAAACTTTTAAAACTCACACAAAAGTTAAGCACACATGTACCCTTTACCCAGATTCAGCCATAGTAGACCATATTTCAGTTGAGCCTTTTGAAGGAAATCCCAGGTGAAAATCTTAGGTGAAACAAGAGAAACAAAAAAGAACTGATGACTTAGTTCAGAAAAATCAGAAAAGGTACAGTGTCCATCAGTTCATTCATTCAGTCCTCATTCATTCAATTAACAGAATACCTCCCATTTTTTGCCCCAAACCCCTTAGTTTAGGATACCTGGCATATAATCAATAATCTATATCTGCTTATTTAGTGGATTGAATATTTGCTGAGCAAAAGTCATGGGAGGCAAACAAGATCTGTGTCATTCATTCCCTGCCATTAGGTACTCATTTTCAAATACGAATGTATTTACTGTGAGTTTCTCAGAGTAGTCTCTCCTCATACACACATCCCAAAATTAGGAACATTTTATTATATTTAAAAAAATTAACTCTTGTGTTGAGGGTTGCTTTTCAATAGATAGCAATGAAAGAACTGCTCTGCTACAAAAAAAAAAAAGAAAAACAAACAAACAAACAAAACCCAAAGGGTCATTTAAAATGAGATTTCCTACCATCTATTTTAAGAATCTTTCCTTGGCCAGGTGTGGTGGCTCAGGTCTATAATCCCAGCACTTAAGGAGGCTGAGGTGGGAGAATTGTTTGAGCCCAGTTTGAGACCAGCCTGGGCAACATAGTGAGACCCCGTTTCTAAGAAAACACACACACACACACACACACACACACACACACACACAAATTTAACCAGGCATAATGGTGCAGGCCTGTGGTGCCAGCTACTTAGGGAAACTGAGGCATGACTCACTTGAGCCTGGGAGTTCAAGGCTGCCATGAGCCATGATCATGCCACTGTACTCCAGTCTGGACTACAGAGCAAGACCCTGTCTCAAAAAAAAAAAAAAAGAAACTTGTCTTGCCTCCTGCTAAATCTAATTGTCATTATATCTGAATATGGTTGGTAGGGTAATAACACCTTCCTTACTAGAGATAATATTATTTGAGATTTTTTAAAGCCAGTCAAATTTGGTAGTCTCTGTTATCAAGTACTTTCCATGTAGTAAATGGTTTAATACATTATTTCAATCTCAACAACTCAAAGTAGGCATTATCCTTATTTACAAAACAGGTGAAATGAAAAACAGAGAGGTTAATTATCTTGCTGAAGATCACATAGCTAAGTGTTAGAGGATTCAAAATCAGATCTGCCTATTTCCCAAGGACCCCTCTATTCTCTTTAAAAAAGCAGCTTGACACACATGGGGATGATTCCATGGAAGTTGAGGTCATTAGTAGAGGGTTTTAGGACCATGGTTTGGGCACACTTGACCTGAAAGTATAGCTTCTAGCAAGGATCTACAGCTATTCTTTTCAGTAGCCATTAGCCACTATGCAATTGAGAAGTTAAATTTGACTAGGCCAAATTGACAGGTGCTAGAAAGTGACTTTGAAGACTTAATACAAAAAAGTAAAAGTTCACTACTAATGTTTTATACTGATTACATGTTGAAATAATATTTTAGAAATGTTACATAAAAAATATTTTTAAAAATTAATTTTAAGACCAGGAGCAATGGCTCACACCTGTAATCCCAGCACTTTGGGAGGCTGAGGCAGGTGGATCACCCAAGCTCAGGAGTTTGAGACCAGCCTGGGCAACATGGTAACACCCCATCTCTACCAAAAATAGAAAATTTAGCTGAGCATGGTGGCTCATGCCTGTGGTCCCAGCTACTCGGAAGGGTGAGATGTGAGCATCACTTGAGCTTGGGAGGCAGAGATTGCAGTGAGCCAAGATTGTACCACTGCACTCTAACCTGGGTGACAGAGTGAGACCGCCGTCTCAAAAATAAGTAAATACATAAATAAAAATTAATTTCACCTGTTTCTTTTTACATTACTAAGGTAACCTACTAGAAGAC